CATTTACAATAGAAATGTTCTGGTGTTCTGACACATGTAATTAGAGATAGCCTTTGAGTGGTACTTATATCCAGGATGTGGCTTTTTCTTTGAGTTCCTGCAAGGCTGGTTACTAAAAAATACTGTACATCTTATTAATGAGTCTCATATTGGGCTAAATGAAACATGTATTAAGAATGACATTAATATTTGGAACTTTATCCTCCTGAATCTGTCATGCTTGAAAAATATCTGCTGGCAGTAAATACACTCCACTTAGAGAAACTAGATTTGACCTTGCATCAGTACCCTGCAAATGTACCAGAGGTGCTTTCTTCTTCTTGCTCAATTAAATAAGGCTCCAAGCACTTGCTGTCACCTCTGTATTTGTTTGTTACAGGTTAAAGTGTTCTTGCTGTCACATCTGTGACAGCAGCTGAGAAATGTTTTATTTTTATCTCCCTGTGATCATAACTCCTTCAATTAAAACTATGAATTAAGCAGGCCACTCAAACTACCTTTCCTATAACTGTTGTTTCCCCTCAGAGCACAGCTGCCTCATCTCTTGCAGAGGAGATCTTTCTGGACTACAGGGTCACATCAAACATTTTGCAGTCTTTAAATAAACCTTTCTATTGTTCTTTTTTGTGAAACCTAGATAATGGTGATTTTGCTTCTAAACATCAAAATATAAAAGTCTGTCTATCTCGTTTCATTACCTGCTTATTTGTAATAACTGAAATACATAAAACCTTTTCCTCAGATTAGCCTCTATTTTTTCTGTCGGCATCTTGCAGCCATAGGCACTTTCTGTTCTGTACAAAGTCCAAACTGCCAAGACAAAATGGTGCTAGAAATCTTTCTCTTCAGTAAATTTTGCAGACATTTACAACACACTTAAAACCCGTATTTAATGGCATTGTGCTTGTCACATATTTAATATATCCAACCTAATGCCAGTCTATGATATGACTGAATATTTCAGCTTTGTGACATTATTAGGACACAATTCTTCTTTGCACTCCTCTTGCAGATAGTTGGTCTAGGTCTTTCTCAAGAACAGAGAAGTTCAGTCACTTTGTATGTCAGAAATGTCCTCTTCATCCTGTGATCCAACAGCTGCACAGATTTGCTTATGTTATACACCTGTCATGCAACAAAGATGCCATGTTAAAATGTCCTCTGGAAAGATGGTGGGTATTGGACTATAGATTATATTGCTCTATGTTTCAGGCTGAAGGCAGCTGATATATATTTTTCAGAAGCTGTAAAACAAATTTTGTGTGTTTACTACTAGACTTAACAATGTCAAAGCCTCACTAAAACAGTCAAATATGACTGTATTCTTTAATCATTAACACTTGCCCAGCACAATTTTGGTTTATCCCACCTATCAACACTACCAGAAAGGAATGTCTGAGCATATTTCAGGGGATAGCTTGAAACACAAACCCTCCCCAGTAAGCTGTATAAACCAGGTGATCCTCTTATGAGGGGATATAATTTAGATGAAGAGATATGGGCTATACAACACTGCTTGCCCTTGCAAGCAAAGGATAAAGTTTGGCCTGCATGATCTGCTTGTATAGAAAAGGCCTGTGATAAATAAACACTCAAATGGGAATGAGCTGGTAAATCAGATTAACTGTAAAGAATTGTCTTTCTTATGTTCCTAAGTGGATACTATAGCTTTTAATAGAAGCAATTGTCCTGACAAATAAATCTCAATCTTACTCTAAATGAGACCTGGGACAGTTGTGGCACCACAGCAAGAACCTCTTTACCTCTTTGCAGATAACTAGCTGGACTATGACCATGAACAGTTTCCTATATCGCAGACTTTTAGTCATATTATATAGAGTTTCTGCTTACAATCCTTCCCACATAGATTGGTGTTTGTCATATGTAAGCTTTTTAACCCCCTAAATTTTACTTATATCTGACCCTTGCCTTTTTATATCAGCAACCACTGTCTTCAGAGATAGTGGGAATAAAAACTTAAAAAAATTGCAAGGACACTTCCATTGTAGAGTATTAACTTCAGTATTCCAGCGTCACTGATTAAGGAACATCAACCAAGGGAGTTTAGATTACGCTAAATGCTGTGAAAAGGTGACAAAAGTTAGGAGTTTTTTAAAGCCACTGCTGTATGACTTGTCAGAAGCAGCTAACAAACTGAGACTGCAAAAGAATGTGAAAATAGCACAAAGGATACTGTCACTTACAGTGGCTAACTATAGTAAGTAGCATGACAGCATGTCTCATGTTTGGCTAAACAGCCTCCCTGAGTACTCTCTAATGCTAAAGCTGCATCTCTGTCCAGCTTATGCTGCAAACGGTACTCAAGGGGCTGGTAAGTGATGAAACAAATCTTTGAGTTAATCACATACGGAAAAAGTGTTCCTGAATATTTGTAGTTACTGAAGCCTGTCTTCCTACAGATGATTTTTTTTAATTTAAAAACTGAAATTTATGAACATTTTCCCCACATTTGAACTCTCACAATTCTTTTCTTTCTAACTCCCAGCTGATTCCAACTATGTCCATGGTGACTGACTTGCCACATGAAAACGCTGAATGACTAACCTGCAAACCATAAAAGAAATATCTGTTCATTTCAGACTTAAGCCTTTTCTCATCAGAGACGCTAATTTTATCTCTCTCATTTCCCTGCCATCATTTTTCATCAAAGTTTTGGGACTAGAATAACTCATTAAATATGATTGAAATTAAACTTTAGATTTAAAATCTACTGCAATGAAGGGAAGTAACAGACAGTGAATTCCCATAATAATCTTTCTTTTGGAAAACAACCTAGAATATTCTTTTTCCTGCATGCCCAGGAGGAATAAATTCCATTTTCTTTTCTTGGCAGGAAATCTGAAGTGCCGGAACACATTGCTGTTGAAAAGCCATGAAATTGATTCTCAATCAGCTCTTCTGCTGGAACATTTTAGTTATAGTCCTGGTATTTAAAAAGTCATCAGGAGGAAGTGTTTTGGCACTAAGTCAGGTGGACATGACGACATGAAATGGCATTGCCTGGTTTTTTCAGGGTTGATACAATTGCACAACTTTTCACAGAAGAAATGCCTCATTGCACATCATATTTGTTTAAATTTCAGTAGAATGCAACTACGGCTTCAATGTAACTTCAGTAGAATGTACTATCAGCAGGAGTCTATACACATAGCTTCAAAAATCCTGTTTACAGTACAGTGCTTGGGATGATCACTAGGATTGCCATTTCAATATTCAGTATCTGGTATGAAAGTTATATGGCATCTCAAAAATCAGGATTTCTGTCTCAGTACTGTGTCTCTCTCTCATAGATGGCCGGAAAGAAAGAGACTAAAGCAGTGTGCTTTCATTCTTGACATCAGTCTCTAGGCAACAAAGAGCTGAATTATGGCTACTGAATAACATATTATCATAAAAGGTTTAAATTTGAGGAATCACATAAATACTGTATGTATACATATAGGTAGATCATCTACACTCACAATACAGAGATGTGTGTGTGTATATATATGAGTATGCATGCATGTGTAAAATGCGTGTGTATATGGACAGATATGTTCATAAAAATACACATTAGTGTGATTCTCATAAAAAAATGTATCTATAATACATATAGGTACAATATGTATGTTATATGCATAACATGCATATACCAGAACAGATATTTCATGTGGCTCCTATCATATGTGTGCATATAGAGATTTGTATGCATGTCCATGTTCATATTTATGTATATATATGTGTGTGTGTGTGTGTGTGTGTGTGTGTGCATACCTATATTTGCATGGAAATATACTTCTAGATGAGTGTTAAGAGCAGCAGTACTTGGAGTACGTAGATCCAGACCTCAAAGAAGAAATGTCCTATAGTCTTGGGGTTTTTTTGCCCAAACCATTGCAGATTGATGTCTAATCTCTTTCAGTGTCTTACAATGTCTGTATCATATGACCTCTAAACTACCAGAGAATGTTTTGAGTCATGTTTTCTCTGCTATATATAACCATGGTGTTAAATAGAAGCAAAGGCAGCAATCCTGGCACTGGTAAGTCATCGTGTCCTGCCTTGAAGTCAAAACACATCCAGTATGGCCTAAAGTTTGTTCTTTCATTGGGGTTACAAGGGGATCAACTAGGAGATGCCATCTACCTCATTTAAGAACTCTGAGGGTTCTCTGACTTCTCCTCCACTTAAAAAGACAAACATTTTCCCTCTCTGACTGTAATCACCCAATATAGCTAAAATAAATTTTCCTTCACAAGAGGGTAAGTGGGAGAGTTGGTGGTTTGCATGGACTGAGTCACCGCTCTTGTGGAGAAATCTCACATGAAATATTCAGGGAAATAGGAAACACGAAAGAGAACAGTCAGAAAAGCATGCTCTTATGGACATCTATAGATGGAAGAAAGCAACACTTTTTTTCTACTCCCCAGTATTCAGTGAGGCTATATCTATCTTTAACAAACTGTTTTATTTCCGAATAAAACAGTAAGAGTTTCATTCTCAGTTTCCACAAAACCATCTATCCTTCTATATTCTTGCCCTTTCACTACAGCACAGGAAGATAAGTCAATAAAGCCTGTACTGAGGATCAAGAAATTACATCTGTTTCAAGCTAAACATTAAAATGGTTCCAAGGCAGCCTAATAGACAAGAGGGATAATTCTGCCACCATTCCCCAACTCTTAATCTGAAGCACATTCTGTCAAAACATCCTTAAAATATTTTTAACTCATTTACAGAAAGGTGGACAGTCTTTCATTACTTCCATCAAAACTTTAATGTTCCTTCAGAATGTGTCCAGCCTCCTGAGGAGCATATCTGCATGGGCTCCTTAAATATGTTCAGATTTCAGATGACAGGCCAAGCCAAGAGAACCAACTCAGTGTGAACTGGTTATTAAAATTTACAGAGAGATGCCTCTGTCCAAATTAAGTTCAAATGAGACCTTGACTTCAGTGTTGAAGTCAATAGTATGGATTTTTATTTAACTGTGAATGTGACATAGAGTGGGAGAGACAGAAAAAATAGGAAAAGAGAGTGGGAGGAGAGAATGAGAGTGACAGAGAGACAGATCAATAGAAAAAATATCACCACCCCAAGGATCGTGACAGCATCCCATTGGTCCTCTTCTTCTGGTCTTCTTGGTGGTGAGGGTCCTGGTCTTGATCTGTTGGGAGTGGCAGAAGCCCATGAAACACAGAGTCCACTGGATTTATATTTTCTCAGGTTCAGGTGGGAACAGCCAGGTACTTCTCCTAGGGCAGGAAGTTTTATACTGGATGATGTAATACTGTGACTCGTGGGACACATTGGTAGTTTTGATGGTCATGATTCTAAGATGCCTCTTAAATCACCAAAGTGGAGTCAGTTCTGGACCATTATGCCCATCAGCAGAGATGAATACCGTCAGACTACATGTGAATGTGCCAGTACTTTTCCAGAGGTGAGTTTTCACGGCTGAGCCACTTGTATAAGAACCTTGGCATGATAAAAAGCACTATCCAACCTCATAGGATTTACCTCTTACCAGCCTGTTCCCTTCTCTTGTTCAACACCCAACTGTAGCCTCTGGTGATGGGTGGTTAAATGGTTGATTGACTGAGCAATGAACCAGTGACAGTCCAGTCTCTCATCCAGTGAAGACACAGAATGAGGAACAGGAAAGTGCTATAGAGCCAAGGGTATAATGAATATGTAATTATTTACAGATAGCAGATCAGCCCAATTAGACAAGCCAAAGGGACCACTCCAGCCTGGACTTTTGATCACTGCTGGGATGTAAAAGACTGCTCTAACTTCCACTCTGCCTGGCTGGAAACAAGTGTCAAGCCTCCGTATGTGAAGGTGGGATCCATTTTCCCAGCCCGACTATATGAACGGATCATCCCTCAAACTGCCATCAACTGACTATTTAGGACTTACTATGTAAAAAATCAAAAGCTTTAAGTTCTTCCTGAAAACCAGGAGGCAACAATACCAGTCAGGAAACAATAGGACTAAAATAGCAACAGGAATATCAGGTTTTGTTACAGTGGCAAGGGCAGGAGGACTGTTTGAAGGACTCAGGGCCAGCTCAGAGTTGGAGCAGCTGAGGTAGCAATTCCCATTGGGAATGCTTGGCCATAGCCCAACCTGGCCTATGGCAGCTGCTTTTCAACTGGGGCTCTAATGGCTGATCTACAATCTCCACAGAACCACAGCCCTGCCCTGGCCAGCCACAGGGCCCACCTGCGAGCCCATGGCCTGGCTTCATCCCATCCCAAATATGCTTCACCTGTCCCAAATATGGTTTTACCTGGTGTTCAAAAAGCCAATTCACACATGGAGTAGAGATGTTTGTTTATTAGGTCTGCCCACATTCTTGAAATATTATCTACCTGCTTTTATACTTTTTTTACATACTTCAAACTTTTATACTTTTTTTTATACTTCAAACAGTGAAAAATCAACATTTCTCATATGAGAAACAATCTAAAGACAGAGCAACAGGTTACACATTCCTTCAGTTCCATTTTCAGTTCCATCCATTCAGTTCCATCGTCTGTGGAGAAGGGGCTTATCTGAGTAAGGGGTGATTGTAGCGGGGTGAAGTAAGCACATTTATTTCACTGTGTCAAAGACTAAAGGTCAGCACAAAGTTCATATAGAATTCTTCTTTGGCTTTGGCAGCAGCTCATTATGGTTCTATCTTCTTGCTAGATTAAATTTATAGTGTCATCTTGCTTTTGCTCCTTGGGTCTTGGCTCCTAGTTTTCACTAGGTATCCAGAGTTGAGTGTCTGCAGGTGTCAAGTGGGTGACCACCTGTGGTGGGTCTAGTGCTGGCCAAATTCCAGTGCACTCACTGGAATTATTTACTCATTTTTTGCTGCGAGATAAGGACTAGGAGGAGAGCAAAGTAGGCTCAAAATTTTAAAGGGTATAAAGAAAACTTTATTAACAGAACTAAAAGAAAAATAGTAAGAAGTCAGAATAAACCTTCGGAACATTTCTCCACCCCCCAACTCTTCTTTCTTCTCCCACGGATAACGTAAAGACGCAAAATTTGGTATTTTCAGTTTACCACTTCTAAAATAATCTTTATTCAGTTCACTTAGGGAGAGGAGTCTCACCTGACATGCCATGAAGACTTTTTCACAAGAAACAGTTCTGACATTGTTTTAATTTTCATGAATAGCAGCAATGGAAATCTGCAATTGTCCCTGCAAAAGTCCTTCCCACAGTTTGGTAGTCTTCCCACAACTACCACCATGTGTCATCTTAGCTTATTGGGGTACAATTTTAAGGATGAGCTGTTATGTATAGAAACAAAAGTTATTTTATTTCTGGGAACAGAGGTTTTCTTCTTCCATCCATGGGGCAACGTTTCTTTTCTCTCTCTGTTCAAGCTTCTCAGTGGATCACAGCTACTTCAGCATTTGCTTGCTTCAACACAGGTACCTCTGCTCATGGCTGTGGTTAGAACTCTACATTCCCCCAATGCATTCCATGAGTTTCAGGGAAAAAAAAGTTTGATGTATCAATTACATCTTCACCATAGCCTCACAAAAGAATTTCAGCCCAAGACTAAGGCATCTCCTCACTCTCCTTCCATCTAGGATTTGAGTCCTTCACTAACCTCGGTGTCTCTGTCTTGTTTTCTCTATGTGTCTTTATGCTTTCCTTTTCTTTCACTCGCGTTTCACGTGTGCACTAGAGTTGGTATCTCAGCCGGGCCTGCGGATGGCCGTGTGATCCCTGCCGAGTGATGGCCGCTCTGGCTGCACGGCTGTTCTCCAGCCCCTGCCACGGTCAGTTCCAGCTGCGGGGCTGCTTTCTGCATGGGCTGCAGGGCTGCCTCTGTTCTTAGCTGCACGGTTTTCTGCGGTGCCAGCAGGAAGGCTCAGCAGCTCGTGGCCCGAGCAGGGGCCAGCCTGGCTCCACCCAAAGCCAAGCCGAGCCAGCCTGGCCCACCAGCCCCGGTCGGAACCCGGCGGCAGCAGAATGTCAGCGAGCGAGCCCGAGCGGGCCGCGCTGCAGCACGGCAGGGCTCGGCCCGGGCCCGCCAGGCCCTGCAGGCCCTGCGGCACAGCGGGGCCTGGCCCGCCTACAGCATACAGTTACTGCTCAAAGGTAAGTGTCAAAGCAAGAGAGCTTTCTCCGGCGAGTTTGTTCGTTTTAAAATGTGATTTCACATAGGCATGTTCAGCTTTCTTAAGTGGTTTAACAGGGTGTCAATATTGAAAACTAGCCAGCTGATTGGTTCTGTTGGGTTCGGAGGAAGCTATTAGCGGTCCTCGCAGAGAATGACTTCCATAACTGATGGATTTTCTCTTTTACAAAAAGCCAAGCTGTGTTAAACCACACCACTGCACCTACTTCTGAACACTGCTCATGCCTAGGGCAGGGGGGACACAAAGACAGGGCCCCAGGGACAGAGCTGCTTCAGAGGGTGGGCAATAGCCAAAAGCTGCTCTATTTGATTTTCATTTGTAATTCAGTGGGCCTGTGCCCTGGAGAGCTGCCAGGCTGGTGCTGTTTAGCTCCTTTCTAAGGCACAGACACAAGACACAATGCATTTGTGTATTTTATACGTATCTTATGCTGCAAGGTGACAAATCTGCACAGAGCCACTACCACCTCTCAAATAAACACTCAAAGAAGTGCTGGTAAGTCATGAGGCCAGATTCACTGGCTGGAAAGCTGACTCGTTAATTGCTTCAGGAGTGTTATCAAGAGTCACAAGCACTCAGCAGAGCCAGGCCCTGGCACCTTGCAGCTCCCGGTGAGCGCTGCGTGTGGCAGTGGGTATGGCAGCCACCTCGGCAGCCGCCCTCAGGCCCTGAGCTCTCAGGGAGCACAGAGATGCTCAGAGCACCAAGTCTCAGCTTGGTGGGAACATTGTCTGCCCCAAACAGGGCAGAGCCCAGGATAAGGAGGTTGCTCAGGCTTTTGGCCACCTAAGGAGACATAGTTATTTACATTAAATTAGGGAAAAGAGAATGGCCTGTGATAAACACATACTGCATCAGGACAGGGATTGCATCCTGACGGGTACATGTAGTTGAAGTAATAACGAAAAAAAAAAAAAAAAGTAAAGCACAAAATCAGGGGAAAAAAGGCTGTTTATTATGATCATACTCTTACTTGAGAGTCTAAAATAAACACTACCTATGAAATTTAGTTCTTTTAAAAATCACCATTTATAAAAGCCAGAATGCTGCTTGGCTCTTGACATCTTTTGTCTCTGAGTTATTATTATTATTCTGCTGGTTTTTTCAGTGTCAGTTGTGTCCTGAGTGTCACCTGCTTCCCTTCAGCATCAATGGAGAAATTTTCCTTTGTTTGCTATGGAGATCCCATTGTGGCCCAGAAGGTAAATGAATCACTGTTCTTAACTATTATTTGGCTCAAATGTGAGGGAAACCTAGAGCTGTGTAAATCCCTTCCGTGCAGTCTTGCCTTGTTCCCGTCTGCCATCTTGTGGCCCTAAAAGTTTAATGCTACTCTGGTTAAAGCCGTTGTTCCAGTCTTTCATGCAACAAAGCACAAAGTCATTCCCCATCCCACATTTATGAGCTTATTCCCTCTTGATATTCAGAGTCACCTTGTGTCACTGCCCTTGGAAGTCTGGAATCACCATCTGTGAAGGTATTTGAAAGATAGGTAGAGACATAGCTTAGTGGTGAACTTGGCAATGTTAAGGTTGAACTGAAGGATCTTAAAAGGTTTTTTCTAACCTAAATGATTCTATGATTATGTGTTAAGAACACACACGGTAACAGGTGCTCCATCCATTTCCAGAATTTGGTGACAAGTCTGAAATAAAATGTTCCTGTCAACAGGTTGGAAGATGTTCAGACTGACAACAGGAGTTGAGATTGGATTAGAAATATGTTTTATGGGCAATGTACCAAACCAGAAATTAAATCTTGTCTAGAATAACTGATTTTTTTCCTTCTGTAATTTTTTTCTAAAGGGAATGATAAAGTTACATAGACGTGGAGGGGATAATGTCTAGTGAGGAGAAACCAGGAGCAGCCACAGGCAGACTTGGAAACACTGAATAAGGATCAGCAGTGACAGAAAAGAGCTGTGGTGCAAGACAGAAGCAAAGTCTACCCAGGGATTCACAGCAAGTAGGAAAAAATTGAATTTCCTATTTCCAGTATGAGGACAGAACACAGCTGTCATGGAGAACAAAAAGGCAAATGGAAAGGGCAGGAGCAGCAACAAAAAGCTTTGTCCCATTTCCAGAGGAGAGCCTTTAAAGTACACCAGACATCACAGTAGTGGCTGGGACTGTACAACAATGTGCTCAGCCATGCAGAGAGGCTGCCTTTCCTCAAACACACCACAGCTATGACACCATGTGCTTGCTCCAGCTCAGACACAAGAAGTATTGAACATCAGCAGAAAATAGGTCTCTACAAACAATTTATTGCATCCAGCAGCATGCAATCCAGTCTGCTTTATCCCAGCTAGAGATATTTGAGATCCCTGGAGAGTTTTTGGCATCAGATCCACATGTCTTGCTTACTTGTTAGCAGTGGGAGCTTGCACCATCCCCACAAAGCCAGCATCAGCAAAAGTTACTGAAGAAATCCTTTTCCTTTACAGGGGCACAACTCATGCCTTTAGGGGCTGGATTCATGCACGCAGTGCACTGAAACCAGAAACATACAAGTTGAACGCTTTTAAGATGAACATTCTGTTGAGAAAAAGGAAGGGAAGAAAAAATCCCTAAAGTCTTTGCAGTGAATTTAATAACTCTGACATTTACACTCATCCTACCTGATAGCATGTCAATCGGAAGAAAATATTGCTAATATTATAAATAAGGTATCTGGAAATTAGGAAAGGCCAGCACTGAAGTGTAATAACAGAATTATGAGTTATATCATGGCACATTTACTTCTGAACAATGTCCAAGGCAATCATCATTCAGGCCCCTTATGCCAATAGGAAGCTGTTCCTTAGATAAGTCATCCCTCACTTTTTCTGTAAGGCAAGGACTGGCCAATATTTAGAAATATTTTTGAAGACCAACAAACCCACAGCAGGCTTAATTTACAAAAGCAATGAATGGTTATTTGGTATATTATTTATGGCCTTGTTTTTGTGGACAGATGTATATTTTTAAATAACATATCTTCATGGATTATAGTCTGATATTTTCTCATCTTTTACAACCTTCCAAACTGTTTTCTTGATTATTCTTACATCATACTACAGAATGAGATAAAACGATGTGATGATGTAAGTATCTGGGTCTTCCTTTATCTCTGTCCCAAAGGGGTGCTAAACTAATGAATTAAATTACATTTTCTGCAAGCAGTCCCTAGTCCCACACGCTTCTCACACGTAATATTTTGTGAATTCACAGAATCGCAGAGCAATTCAGACTGGAAGGTACCTCATAAAGTCTCTAGTCTGACCTCCTGCTCAAAGCTGGTTTATACAAATATTAACCTGAATTACAGCTGTAAGTATGTGAAAGGTTTCCTCAGAAGCCATTCTTGAAGCTCCTTTTGATGTGCAGTGTTCACATTTGCATGAGCCACTGTAAAGTGTTACATTATCCTGCCTCTGGGTGTCAGCATTTGCCCTCATTTGGAGACATTTATAAATTGTCCTTAAAATTGCTTGTCTCTAAGGAACCGTGAAGCCAAACAGATTCCAGTTCTCATTCTGAATTTGTCTGAACAGTTGGATCTGGTTTATGAGAATTTTCAAGTAAGCTGGAATAATCAAGCTAAATTGGAAAATTATATTCTGTGTGATGGAGAAGGGATTTTTTTTCAGGATTTCACTTCTAAGATAGAAGGGAAAGGGAGATTCAATTCTGAATTCACCTTTTTTCCCTTACATTCAGACTGCAAGCTTTGAGCAAGAAAAAAGAAATGAGAAGAAATATGACAGGTTTGCACATTGCTATGCTACCCATTTACAGATGATACACTCTCAGATAAGCAAAAGTTATACACAGCTTTTCATTTTAAGCTAAAGCTTACCTCTGGAGACAGGATCTGTATGAGGTTACATTATTCCAGCTGTCATTATGGCCAGGTGGTGGAGACAAAAGCTGTAGAAAGACTATTTTGCTCTTCACCAATGTAGCCAGTGTCAGGGCCATCATGGGGAGGAAGAGCAGCAGAGTAAAGAAGGAAGACAATGGTGACTATTTAAATGGAAGGACCATAATGCCTATCTAATACAGTAAACCTTCAGTCTCTCTCCTGCTGCACACAGTCATAGAGAATTCTTCATAACACCCAACTCTCAGAAACACTCAAAAGATTTGAAAGAACTCAACACCTCATGGGATCAGTTCTCTGCTTTCTTGTAGCTCCTGGTATGTGAGCTCAGAGGCATTGTCAAAATTTCTCCAGATCACAGGAACTGGGTAGAAGCATATCCTGTGGAAATCTGTCTGCCTAGAAGATTTTGACACATAGAATAATAAAATATTTCAGGTTGGAAGGTACCCATGAGGATCATCAAGTCCAATTCCCTGCTCCTTGAAAGACTAGGTAAAATTTAAAACTAAGACTAAGAGCACCCTCCAGACAGTCCTTGAGCTCTGACTGGCTTGGTGCCATGGCCATTTCCCTGGGTAGGTGTTGCAGTCCACAACCTCAGGATCTCATCCAGGGAAGCTGCAGGGTTCTGGGGACCAGCATGGAACACCAAACAAGACGGGCTCCCGTTCATGAAACCATTTATTCAGCATGGGAACAAGCTCAGATCCAGAACAGAGAGCTCTGAACAGAGGCACAGCAGGGGTTTTTGAGGGACAGAACTTTTGAGGGTTTCCATCCTTGAGGGTGGAGTTCAGGGTCAGGGACCAGTAGAAACACACCAAGGGAGAGCCCCCCAGGGACTCAAACCCAAATAGAACACCTGGGCCGCCCTTCACAAGGAGTTTGGGGTGGGACAATGTAACTCTTTGTCTCCCCTGAGGGACATCGCCACAGGTAGGCTGTTCCAGTGATTGGCCACTTCCTTAGTGGAGAAACTTTTCCTAATGTCCAATCTGAACCTGCCCAGAGGCAGCTTCATGCCATTTCCTTGTGTCCTATTGCTGGTCACCAGAGAGAGATCAACACTTCCCCTCAGCCTTCCTTTCTCCAAGCTGTGCCAACTAAGTGACCTTAGCCACTGCTTTTAAGTCTTGTCTTTGGGGACTTTCACCATTTGGTGGCTCTTTCCTGGATACTCTCTAAAACTTTGTACTGTGGAGCCCCAAACTGCACACAGGAATCAAGGTGGGGACACACCAGAGGGACAGTCACTTCCCTTGACCAGATGTCAATGCTGTGCTTGTATCCAACAGTACAATATATAATCCAATAACCTCCAATGTAAAAAACAAGCAAACAAAAATACCTCACAAAAAAAAAAAAAAAAAAAGCTCTGCAAGGAAGTTATTTAGTTAAGATTAAATTTCCTGACAAGAGAAATAAGTGATAATTCATGCATGCAAACCAGAATGGTCCTGTCCCATGTGGATTTATATTCATACCACCATACATTAACAAGTTCAATCTGACAAACACAGTATATTGTTAGAATGCTGCCCCCTGAAGCATGACATACAGTTTTATGCTGGAATTAATGAATTTTTCTTCAGTTTTTACTCATTGCATTCAGATGTGCACTAAGACAATAAATGCCTTAGAAAGAGTGAACAGTCAAAAGCCCCTGTTATCTTGTTTGTTGAAAGACACTTGTTTTCAGATCAGATTTAATGCATGACATTTACTGAATAACTCAATCAGGCATAGTTGTTTTGTCTACATAAATCTGCCAGAAAAAGGATTCAGATTAAACAAACAAACAAACAAGAAAACAAGCAAACAAACAACACACACTCCCCAAAAACACCAAAACCCTGATATTTATGTAAGAGGAAATCCATACCAGACTAAATGTATTCTGATTTTAATTAAAGATTGTGGAGTAGTATTATTATAGCCCAATTTTCCCCCTTTCAATCCTTCATTAAGCTGGTTTGGATTTACAGCTTTTATAACTCCCAAGTGTAATGAAAATGGTGTAAATGTTCCCATATTAAGATCACCTGTGAAGATACTTTCCCACTATGCAGCTGTCTCTGACTTTTTGAACAAAATTAGAGATCACTTAAGAAAAGTGTGTGTAAGCAAGCCTACAGAACTAGATGAGATGAGTTTGTGGATACAAGAGCTACCATTTACTATTGTAAGGCCACTCTGAGTCATCATTGTAAGGTCACAGAAGCTAGGTGAAATCCCAGTGACTGTTATAAATGTAAATGTAGCACCCATCTTCAAAGGGTAAAAAAAGAAGCCTGTTCACTTAATATCTGTCCACAGGAAAATTAGGAGACAAACTTTCCTGGAAGACATTTCCAGGCACAAAAATTTGACTGGGAGCAGCCAGCACAGATATATCATGGGTATATCACCTCACACCTGACAAGCCTGATGGCTCTGTATTATGAGCTGTTTAAGTGGCTTTAGCAAGGCATAAGTACTCCATAACAACCTCACAGCCAAACCAAGATTCTCTGGGTGAAGGTATCTTCATACCAGTTCACACAGCAGAACCCACAAGAGATACCTAAGATAACTAAGAGTTATCAGATTCAGAGGTCTCTGTGTTACGCAGCACCTGAACAAAAGGGTTTAATGAGAAGAGAGAGAGATACCACCCACACATCTAAGATTTTTTGATTTTTCAGTAATGAATACAATGGAGTTTGCATGAGGGTGGATCTAGAGAGTTTCATTACAGAACCTAGGCCTTTTGTAGGATGATGAGAAAATAAAAACACTTGAAAGGTTCCTGTTTCCTGTCAGTGGAGAAGGGATGATGAAATCTTATGAAAACATTGGGAAAACCAGCAAGCAGTTCTGTGGCTTTGTTTTCACTGTGGTGTTAGAAATGGTTTTGATTACTGAGATGGACTACAGTTTTTGCACATAAATAACATCTTTGATCTAAAATGCAACTGTTGACAGGTAGAAAGTCTGATCAGTGTTCAACTTTTCTCACTCTCTTTTCTCTCTTTGTCTGGTTTCTTTGAAGTTCAGTAAAATACTCCTAGCATGCCATTACCATCACTTCATATAAAAAGCACAGGAATCCAGACTAGTCATGATAAATTATAGATAGGCCAAGCAGTATTTTCTTTGAAACAGACTGCAACTTTGGCTAAGGTGCATCCATACACCTGCCTGGCAAAAAGGTACATTTATTCAGCTTTGTATTTTTTTAACCTACTCATAAAATAGGGGAGGAAATTTATTTCCTGACAATACTCACAAAGTCTCACTAGGACTTCACAGCAGTATTTGGCATCAGAGGAAAACATCCCACATTTCCCTTAAATCTAAAGGGACTGGGAAAATAGAAGGTTAAGTAAAATTAATATTTCATTGAAGAAAGGAAGACTTTTTTTTCTCGTTACTTGGGTTCTTTGTATGCATGCACCTTTTTTAAACTCATAATATTTTCACATGTTGTTTTACAGTTTGTGCTTTATGGGAATTTAGAACATTTTATCTCTCATTTATCTTATTTTAAATGCTTGGTTCTAGTAAATGTTCATTTTGACTGATTCATAGAAGTGCACATCTTCTAAATTTGATAACAAAAAGATTCCCAGCTTTCTTAGAAGCAACTAATTGAAGTCTCCAGAAAATCAGATTTTCTTTTTTTTTTCTGTAGTGTGTAAACAGTATAAATGCACTCTAATGCTGAGACTGACAGTTGGAAACTGATAGGAGCAGCTAAGGGAGTTGGGGATGTTTAGTCTGGAGAAAAGGCTGGGGGACCTTATCACTTTCTACAACTCCCTGAAAGGAAGTTACAGTGAGGTGGGATTTGTTCTCTTCTGTGAAGTAACATGTGATAAGACAAGAGGAAATCACCTCAAACTGAGTCCAGGGAAGTTGAGGTTTGATATTAGGAAACATTTCTTCCCTGCAAGTGCTGTAAAGCATTGGAACAGGCTGCCCAAGGAAGTGGTTGAGTCACCATCCCTGGAGATAATTAACAGACATGTGTGGCACATAAGGACATGATTTATTGGTGGACTTGGGCATGCTGGGTTACTGGCTGGACTTGATGATCTTACAGATCTTTTACAAACTCAACAATTCTATGATTCACTTTCAGAAGAAATGAGTTCACAAAGCAGAAGATCATATTCTTAAGATCTCATTCCACGTCAGTAACCTCAGCTGGGATCTGAGTGAAACTGAAACATGGAAGCTTTGCAGGGCTACTACCATCAAGGAGGTATCAGGTGCACACAATGGATATGAGACATCGAAACACATATCAGACTGACACTTGTGAAAATTGAAATCCTTGCTCTTCCACTGAAATATAAGGTAAGCCATTACTGGGGAAACTCCTCACAAGCACGGTTCACTTACCCAAACAAGTAATCCCCTTTGGTGACAAAAGGCAGTTGTTTATGTCACCTCTACTGAGATTATCAGCAAGTGTGTCGGTGTTTTATCTTTTTTCTCTTTGTCATGATGCAAGTTCTTCAGGTACTGTGTCTTGGGTTGCAATAAGCATAGGTGATTCACCTGTTTCACTCCTTTGTTCCTTTATCTTCAGTCATGGTGTTCAACCTAGAAAGTTAAATTACTTTTAGACTCTTTGAACCCAAGTCTTTTAGCAGTTATAAAACAAGAGATAAATGTTATAAACTTGGTGTGATTTTCTGTGGGAAGTCAGCACTGAATTTAAACTTTTTTGATGGGTTTGTAATACCCATTGCCACCAATTCCATGGTGGTATGTACCAGTTGGGGCTTCAGGTCCATTGAATGGATCATGGAAATCAGAGCTGCAGAGACAACGGAAAAATGTGAAGAACAGAAGTAAGCTGGAAATGGTTGAGACAATGTCAGTGAAGAATCCAACAGTGATCTTCACTAGGAGACTGAATTCGGCAGTAACAGGTACAGTGCTTCTAACAAAAAATACTTCACCAAGATGGTCCAGAATTGCTCAGTTTCTGCCTGTTCTTCATTCACTGGCAGGATGTATGCTAATAATTACAATGTTTCTGACAGTCCTGTTGCCATATGGGGTAAAGCTCACATAACTCTGTATCACCTGTTACAACATGTCCTAATCTATCAGCAGGTAGGTGTTAAATTGGTTTATAAAGAAACAGATAATTCTTGTAATATTCTGTAAGTCAAACTTTCAATCACTATCTGGTTTATTGCTGTCCTGGGAGTACACAAAATTACCAAATTATTCTGAATTTCTACTGACTCCCTTAAACAAGACTGCAATATCACATGATATAGAGGAGTTTAGGTGGAAGAGAATGGATGTCTTTCCTCTGCCCTTTGAAATAAAACCATCCTCTCTTTCCATCAGTGATGAAGTTTAAATTCCATGTTCTGGTCTGTAGCCAGCTCCTCAGCTTCCAGTGAATGGATATGTTTTTATGTTTGATCAGTTTTTCTGTGAATGTGCGGCAGAAGGAGGGGTCTTGGGCAAAAGCTAAATATATCATAGAATCATAGAATGGCTTAGCTTGGAAGGAACCTTGAAGATCACCTATTTCCAATTCCCTTGCCAACTCTCATGAGTTTCTCAGACAGGGTTAAAACTTGTAGCTATCACATAGCTTGAGAATGTGAATCCCTTTCCAGTGGGGCATGAAAAGACCTGCAGATGTTGAGAGCTAGACCTAAGGTATTCCAAAGGACAGAAAGCCTCTGCAATCTATGAATACCTGTTACTTTTTTAAAGCTCATTAAAAATGTTACTCCACAACAAGAGACTAGAGGAACTTTCCAGTGTGAAAAGTGTTTGTTCAAATTGAAGCACACTGTGACGTGTTGACCTTGGCTGGTCACCAGATAGCCAGCAAGTCATTCCATCACTCACTCTCCTCAGTAAGATGCAGGGAGAAGAAACAATAAAAAGCTCATAAATTCAGCTAAGGACAGGGAGACTATTTACCAATTACCATCATGGGCAAAAGAGACATGATTTCAGGGAAAATAATTTTATTTATTGTCAGTTAATAACCGTAGAAAAGTGAGAAATAAAAACAAAATTAAAAACACCTTTCCCTCCACCTTCCCTTCTTCTAAGGTTTAGCTTCACTCCTGACTCTTTTACTTTCCCTGCCCTGAGTATGCATGCAAGTTGGAGTCAGTCCACAACTCATAACTTTTGTCTCTGCTGCTCCGTCCTCTTCATGCTTTTCCACTGCTCCAGCATGGGGTACATCGTACAGGATACATGTCCTTCAGAAACTCCTCCAGTGTTGATCCTTCCTACAGGGAACAGTCCTTTGGGAACAAACTTCTCCAGTGTAGACCCTCAACAGGTCCTGCCAGAAAAACTTTCTCCTGCATGGATCCTCTCCCACAGGCCACAGTTCCTACCAGGAATCTGCTCCAATGTAGGGTTTCCATGGGCCACAGCTGCCCTCAGGGCACATCCCCCTCCTCTCGTGAAGGGTCCTTCATGGGCTGCAGGGGGACAGCGTGCAGCAACACAGCCCTTTCCATTGGGCTGCAAGGAAATCTGTGCTCCCGTGCCTGGGGCACATCTTCCCCCTCCTTCACTGACCTTGATGTCTGCAGGACTGTTTTTCTCACATTTTCTCACTCGTCTCTCACAACAGCTGTGCAGCACTTTTTAACCTTTCGTAAACACATTGTCACAGAGGCACTACCAACAAAGCTTAAAGGACTCAGCTCTGGCCAGTGGCTGTTTTGGAGCTGTCTAGAACTATCTCTGTCTAATATGGGGGAAGCTTCTGCTATCTTATCACAGAAGCCACCCCTTCAGCCCCCCTGCTCCCAAAACCTTGGCACATAAATATACATACCACTGCTTATAACGTCTGGCTTAGAGATTTATTCTCAAATGCCTTATTCATTGAATTCTCAGGCAAAATTGCTGCCTATCTATCCTGGTTCTCAAATGCCTTATTCATTGAATTCTCAGGCAAAATTGCTGCCTATCTATCCTGGTTATAATCCAGCACAGTGCTTTGAATAGTAGCAGATTTTCTCTTACAAGAAAAAGCTACATCATCATTATTATTATTATTATTATTATTATTATTATTATTATTATTATTATTATTACTATTCCTTTAAAGCCATCATAAGATGTGTTTGCCTCACTGAGCACTGTGATCTGTTCACATTTTGTATTTTATAAAAATAGGCTACCCTCTTTTCTCATTGCTGCACAGAGGCTGCCTGAAGATGAGACTGGCATAATAAGGTCAGCACTGCTGGGTAGTGTAACAAACTTGTCAGTAAATGTTAGTATCAAAAACAGCATCTCAGAAACCTTTTCTTTATTCTTCTCACTTCTTAAGACATGCAGTTTCATGTGTCACCATTTGGTATTTTCATAAAAAAAGTGCACACAGATAAAAAAGAAATGTAATTAAAACATTTCATTTAAAGCCAGGAAAAGATTCAGAATCTAGTCATAAGAAGGAACAAGTATAGGCAGCTCTACGTACTTAATTTCCTCTGCGTATTAGCAATAATGTCTTTGGGGGTGAATTTCTGACATATTTATCACCATCATATCTAGGAACTCTGGGTTAAATCCTTGACCATGTATAAATCCTCTTTTTGATGCTTCAGTGGAAGATTCACCAATACAGAAAAATACTATGCAAATCAGATTACATTTTCCTGCTTAGGGATTCCAGTCCTTCTGCCCATTGGCCATGCCAGCATTCTCTATACAAGCATAGCAGGAAATCCCAGAAAAAGAACCAATAAAAATAGTAAAATAATGAAAACCTTACAGTACACAGAGAGAGAAAAGAGATTAATTTGCTAGGGAAAGAAATGACAAAGGTGCCAATATAAGGACAAATTCTGGAAAAATATGGAGAGGAACCAGTCACACTTCCATATAGTCTAAATATAAGCATTATATTTAGAATTAAAAGGAAAGAGAAAGGCCATGGTTCCAGCTGTGGGGTTTTTATCATGTTCAGCCCATGGTATGTATAAACTTGAATCTCAGGCATGTGTTATGTAAAATGTGGTGCCTGCATACAAATTTACTGCACTAACCATGTAACAGAATGTATGAAATTCTTTGTGGTATATCAGCTCAGCTGTCTGTGGTAACACTGATCTCACATTGTCTGCACCCCAGAAGTTACGTTGAGCATGACAGTAAGTCTGTGCTATAAAACACTGATGAGAGGTGCACCATAGTATACACTCACACTACTGATTATCTGGGTACTACTTGGATTGAAGAAAAGTGAAGAAATCTGGTGTGTGCATAGAGCAGGCTCAGTCTGCTGCCAAGGAGCCACACAGAGGTACCCACCAATAACCGGGTTCCAAAACACTGAAGGCTTTTAAAATATTTAAAATATTTAGAAAATACCTTTTCCCCATTGAAGTTTTCAGGCAATTTAATTTGAACCAATTTCTGCTTTCCTCTTTGATGGAAAAACAACAGATTTTTCCAAGTGATTCATAGAGGTGGTTGTGGGTAACATACTGTCTAATCCACCTCCTTTCACTGAGCAACAGGAAAATTTACAGCTGAGCTTCCTGAGTGGGGAGGGAACAGAAGGAATCTAAAAGCATGTAATGTCACCTAACTCTTTATTCAATAAGTGCAGTATTTATTCCACAGTCTCTTCAACAAGTAGGTTTATGGCTTTTACATTTGTAGCGGCTTAGCATTCTGACAAAATTTGCCTTTGTTTACTCAGTCTTGCCTAGCAGTGCAGGATTGCTCTGCAGTCTCTATTTCCAGATGGTTTAGAGAAAAAGCAAGGTTCTGTTTGGAGACAGCACAGAAAAATTCCTGAGGCAAGAAGGTTGCATAGCAATAGGAATAGTGCATGCTCAATACTGAATCGTCATCTCTGCCATTCTGTTACTATGGAGACGGCATGGCTGCTCCACAGCTTACTCTGCTATCTCCACAGCTGCAACAGGAGCTTTGATGGGGTGCACATGCACTGCTCCTCACACCTTCTCTGTCCCTCACAGACACTACAGGGCAAACTGATTGTCGTTCAGTTTGTGATCACAGCTTGTTAAAGTAATGTATTACTGCTGTGTTTGAGAATATCAGTGTCAGTGCATCCTAGGACTGTGTGAAGCTCAAGGGAAAAAAACACATTCTTTAAACACATGCACCTCTAAAAATACTACTGTGAATTATCTCATTTCTATCCAAAAGCCTACAGACGAGATATCTTATCCACCCATTTTTGAGAACTTTTTATATATTCAGTTTAACATTGGGGTGGGAAAACCATTAAAATTAATGTACAAGCAAAGGCACATTGATCGAGTATTTTGCACTCTAGGGCTATAGTGAGGAAGAAAGGAAGATGAGTCAAGCAGCTGATGGCTCCAGGTATAAAAAAGACACATATGGCAAGATGCCAAGAAGCCATCTCTCTTGTTGTTGTGCCAAAAACATTTTAGCTAACACATTGAACAGAAAAGCAGGTCATAGAATGATTCCTTTTTATGCACAAAACTTGACAGCCTGCACTTGCTCAGAATTATGTCTGCTTTTTTGAAAGCCATTTTGTATTTTAAAATTGGAGAAGCAGCTACAACCCTATGTATAAAAAGCCAATTTAATGTGCATGTGAAAATTTCAGTAATAATATCAAGTACTGTTTTAAACACACATAATCAAGACCATTTACTCTTAACCAGGACTACTATAGTAGTCTTTTCAGTCTTTTACACTGAAAAAATATCACTTTTTCTTTCCACTGAATTATCTTGTCTGCATGGGTTTTGAAGAATTGCCCTTTTGTTTTAAGTTTTGCCTGAATAATACTTGAGTTCAGATGAAAGGGCTCAAACTACTCTGCATGCACTATATGACAGCAATGAGCTCTGGTCTTTCAACAAGAGCCAAAATCTAGCAAGCAGGAAAATCAGGAGATTTTCTCATGAATGTTCTCCACAGCCAGAGGTACATGTGGAATAAAGGCAGAGGTTTTTGAGGAAACATCAGTCCTTCTACCCATCTGCTAAGCGACAGAGCAGCACTGGAATCATCCAAGATGCTTCAGAAAGGCTATCTGATCAGCTTGCATGTTATTTTGTTGGCTCTCTCGAATTGTGTTATTTGCCATCACAACTGCTGCCATTTGCAATATAGACTCAACCCTTTAAACAACATGAGATGTAAATAATATTTTGTTTATATCTTTTCATTTCTGCAATTCATGCCATCTACCCTGGAGCTTAAGTTTTATGAAGCACACTCTGACTCATCTAAGTGAAATAGGTTATGCCACAGATAAAACCTATCTAACACTGACTGGACCTCAGTGTATATATAATGCACTTTGCTATGTGTCTTCTGCTGTTTCAAAGCCCTCTCGCCTTACATTCAGAGAGGTGCAAATCACTCAGCTCTTCTATTCAGGATGTCCAAGGGTGAGTCCATTTCCCATTATCATCAATCATGCTCCTTGCATAAGCTTGGTTCCCGAAAGACCGGAGTCTGGTTTACATCCCATTAAGACTAATGGCCTACATCATGCTCACTTCCGAAGTCTGCCCGCGGCTCTGCCCGGCTGTCCGTGGCTCTGTCCTGCTGTCCGTGGCTCTGTCCTGCTGTCCGTGGCTCTGCCCGGCTGTCCGTGGCTGTGTCCGGCTGTCCATGGCTCTGGCCGGCTGTCCGTGGCTCTGTCCGTCTGTCCGTGGCTCTGGCCGGCTGTCCGTGGCTGTGTCTGGCTGTCCGTGGCTCTGTCCGGCTGTCCGTGGCTCTGTCCGGCTGTCCGTGGCTCTGTCCGTCTGTCCGTGGCTCTGTCCGGCTGTCCGTGGCTCTGTCTGGCTGTCCGTGGCTGTGTCCGTCTGTCCGTGGCTCTGTCTGGCTGTCCGTGGCTGTGTCCGTCTGTCCGTGGCTCTGGCCGGTTGTCCGTGGCTGTGTCCGTCTGTCCGTGGCTGTGTCCGGCTGTCCGTGGCTCTGTCTGGCTGTCCGTGGCTCTGTCCTGCTGTCCGTGGCTCTGCCCGGCTGTCCGTGGCTCTGTCCAGCCGCGGGCCGGGCGCCGGGCGCTGTCCGCGGTGCTGCAGCCGGAGCACGGACACTGCGGCAAGAGGGAAACGTCTTCTGCACTCTCTACCTCACTGATTAAAACAAAAAAAAAAAATACTCTGGCAGAACACTAATTCTTATATAAACATATTTCTATGATATTGGCTCACATGGGGTGGACTAGATGATCTTTCAAGGTCCTTTCCAAACCAAACCATTCTATGATTCTATGAATATTAAAGCAGATTAGAACAGTGCTAATCCCTTTCCAAAACAGAACCCTTTTGATATCAATGTCACTAGAATAAACCAGCTTTTTCCAACATCAGTGCGGGCACCTACTGCCATGAATTTTCCCAGTGGTTTTTCAAAATCTGCTGTAGGTTTAAACTAAATAATCATATTTATGTTGCAGAAGGGTTCTTGTGTTAGCAATTAGCTGGTTTTAACAGTGGAATCTCTTCAAGAGATTCCATGCTCTTTCTTGAAAACAGGACAACATCGAGGCTGAACTGAAGAAGAAACCTGGACTTCAGGTGATATTCTTTTCCCTCTGGAATTAATAAAGTACTTCAAAGAGAACAGAGAAAGACAAGATCAAACACCTGAGTCAAGGAAGCACTTAAGACAGAAGCTACTTCCACAGGGGGATTGTGAGTCATTTATATGGGGACCCTAGGAGTTTCAAGAAGATACTTATTAGGAAGATAAATGGTATATGAGAAGCTGTTCTCTGGCTGGCAAGTGGCCAGGAAAGAAGGATATGAATGAGATTCACATAAAAAAATGGGTAATAAAGCAGTCACAGACATAAGCAGTGCAGAAAAGCACTCCTGAGACAAAGAAAACAAGATGGAAATCCTCCAAAACAGAAAGAGCTACCTAGACTATAGACATGGAAAATCCCCAGAGAACTGGGGTAGATAAGAGTGTCTCTAGAGAGTAGGATAGCAATTAACTCCACTGCTATTGTATGATTTAACTCTTAATTTTCATATCTTTTTACCCCCTCATTATTTAGGAGTTTGTAAATATGAAAAGAGCTGAACATCAATGTAATCAACTTTCTTTCTACTTAAAATATCCAAAGCATAGGAGTAGATACATAAAAAGTATGGATATTGTTCCCCGATCCCAGCTGTGACCCTTGCCATGGGACAGATGGCACTATCCAAACCAAAATCCACTGATTTATGCTTCATAGAATTAAATTACTCAGATACTATCATAGATCTAATGAAAAGAAGAAAAAAAGGGGGAAAAACATAAACGTTCCTAATTTTACATTGTATTTTCCTTGATTCTGATCATCTCCTTACAGCTGTTTTTACATCTTCTTCATTTTAAACATGTTTAAACATGAACACATCTATGTTCTTCACAGAAGGGGCATAGTACTCCAGAAAAGAACTGACATGTCTGATTCACACTGTCTTTGAGACAGCCCCAATGGAGCTGATAGAAGCATGTTAAGAAATGGATAGAATTAGTCAACAATCAAATCTTCTTTTCATTGCTTGGATATGCTTGCACAAGAATTTCTTGGAAGGGCAGCAACACTACCACGCACTACCACGGCCAAAGCTTTTATATCCTTCAGCTTCATTTATTCATGCCCTGAACTGCTGCTGGTTTCTGCCCACATTCACTCTGAAAGGGTGCAGCACAGTGGGGCTGATTTTATTAACAGGAAATTTTTTGCTAGGAGCTCTTTGTCAGATCAAATCATTGCTCTGCAAAGTAGCAGCAGTGTAAGTAGCAGGTTTTCCATTAGCACTCTGCCTAGAACAAAGGTGCAGTTCAGCAAATAAGGACTTAGTGCATGTCTCTTTGTTTTCTGTTTGGAAAGGGCGCAACAGCCGCATGCTAAGTGCATTTAAACAGCTTTAATTTTTGGATCCAGATCAGAAAGGAAAATATCTTTTACCAGTCTGTCCAAGACAGGGTTCTCTAAGAAGAACACAGCTGTTGCTGTGCTATCTCCTCTCTTCTCAAAAGGCAAGTCTTTTCTTGTTTAAATTGTGAAGGAGATTTATCGTTCCTATTGTACTGACACTGCTGGTCCAAGCTCTGCTTGCTTTCCTGAATCAAATCAGCAGGACTTGTTCCAGGAAGCAGCACCAAAACAATTGAAAAAATAATGCTTGTGGGAGGGAGCTAATTTTGGAAATTCTTCATGTTCATAGCTCAAAATAATACAGCAATCAAGAAATCAGCATGTTTCATCTCAAAAAGTAACACATAAATCTTAATCTCAGACTGTTACAATAATCCTTAAAAGATTATTTTTGATACTTTTTAACCTTTAGAGATCATTTCATACTAGCTGATTTTAATAGTCTTTATTAACATAGGCAGCATTTTGAGATGAGTGAAAAACAGCCCAGATATGTTGTAGAATCCAGCATAACTATACAGTGTCTGACAGACAATAGTTATTCATTTGATTGCAGATCCCTTATATGTCTATTTTAAGGATTACTATTATTTAGCCTTATAATTTTTAAGGAAGTCAAAATTTCATTGGAAAGGTCTGATATAAAAAAAAAAAAGTGTAAATTTTGCTGAGTTTTGAAGTGTATAAAGACAATATTTCTTTACCAAGAAGCTATTCAGACACTGGAATAGGCTTCCTAGAGAGGTTGCGATACCTATCAATGTTCAAGAGGCATTTGGACAATGCCTTTAATATCCTTTAGTATTTGGTCAGCTCTGAAGAGGTCAGGCAATTGGATAAATGATTGTTGTAGATCCCCTTCAACTGAACAGGTTGAGTCTGGTCTAGTCTATATCATTATCTTATTTGATGTAAAATGTTTTTTATCCTTTTCTTTTTATAAAATCTTGATATTTAACATCCAAGTGCTAAATTCAAAGTATCTCAGGAGGTCAGAATGTGTGAGAACGTTAACTCTGCTCAACTCACGAGGCCCAACTCTGCCTAAGTGCCAAGGCAGCACGTTCTCCTTTGGAGGTGTGGGCTCACACTAGAATCACATCATTTTGTGTTTGATTCTGAGCTCTTCATGGTGCTTAGCCTGCACTTCAGGAGAGCAGCAGGAGGTACATGCTGTTCTCTCTGACTTGATCTGTTGAGAGTATACACTGAAGCTCATTACTGTTACTTTATTCCTTGATGTTAAGTAGTAAATATGCTACAGGGTGGAAAGGAATAGCAACGAATTTTTATGGGAAAGAGCCAATGATCTTGAATAAAATGTAGGCAACGCCACCACAGATAGGTGCCCTAGTTTTTGCTGTCATAAACTTGCACACAGGAATATCCAGGTTTCCTTTTCTGTGCTATCTTCATAGGAAAATGAAAGATGAAATTCCCATTTATATTTTAAGTTCCCTATGCCAAGGATTCCCACAGCCACGTGCTTCACAGAGCCACACTCACGTTCTGCTGCACTCCAGTTAGCCCTGCTGAAGTCAGCATAAATAAAGTACATGACATTGAATGCCAGCTTTTGCTCCAGTACAGATACACACTGTCTCAGTTGAATTTTACTGGAGTTATCTGACTCATATCAAGAGTTCATATGGAATTTCTGTTCAAACAAATTTTTGGTTCTGGATGCTATAAAGAACGGATGCCTCAATATAGCTAACATCTATGACATAAAATATTCTCTCGATTCTTTATTGCTTTCAGTTTTGTTGCAAAGCCACACATAAACTTTTGCTGTTCAGAAGACCTAAGGAAAAGTTCTCCGTAGATAATTTTTTTTTACTTACATTGAAATCATACAAAATTAATTTATTCCATCTGTATTTCATAGAACTTGTGCTTCTCAGAATCAGTTCAGAAAAAATTGCTTCTAGCAATGACTAGGCTAAGGATTAAGAAGAGAAAGGTGCTTCATCTGATCTGCCATGCTTATTTGCTTTAAATTCCCCTAATAATTCACAGTAATTTTCTCTTTCACAGTCAATAGTCCACAGGGAAGGCTGTGATACTGTTTAGCTCTACCATCAATTCCACACTTGGAGAGTGAGTGCACAGAATAAGAAATCATACAGCATTTTTTCCACAGTAATTTTCCATGCGCCCTCTTATCTCCTAAAAAGTGGGAAGTAATTTAAGAAAGCTTACCCTTTGTAGATTGAAAGGCTCTTCTCCATTCATTTGAGAGAAGCAACCAATTCCAAAGCCAAATGCTGGAAAGCTCCACATGTAGCTGGTTGATGCGTTAGTTCACCTTACAACACCTTCTGCATGGAAAGGCTTATAACAAATTGTGTAATCTGGGATACACTGAATCACTGGTTATATTTGTCAAATTTTCTAAATATCAGAATATTTTTATACACTCAAGATCATTATTAGATTTTAAATCTCTGCAGACATGAAGTAAATAAAGCAATGTGCATAAGTGTATAAGCAAAAATTATTCTCACTCTCCAGAAAGGGTAAATTTAATATAGAGATTCTAAAGTATCTTCATTTATTCAAGGAAAATGCAAACAAAATATTCCATACAAAAAGGCAACTGAAACAAGTGTTCAAATTTATCAGCTGAATTACAAGCTTAACTTTTCTAGTCTGGCAAAAGGGTGATGTAATTCAAATCATTTTGACTTTGCATCAGTAATAAAAATAAGCATAGAGCTCATCACTGTAGATCAATTAATGCAATTTAGCTTGCTACATTATAGAAAATCTGTGCCTGACTCCTTTCTTTTATTAGGATCATTCAAGGACCAGTTTTATTGTATGGATTATTTACTCCATCACATGTGAAGAAGGAACATGACATTAATGTTGTACAGCTGTGCAGACACACAGGTTTGACAGTAAGAAGATTCTATTCTCTGATTTTTAGCCTCTGCTGACTGTAGAATAGAAGAACACACCAGGCTGTGAAATTATAACTTTCCATTGCACCTAGAAATGAACCATTTTGATTTAATTGGAGTCAGTCCTTTTTGCTTTTACAAGTCAATACAGCATTAGGTTTGAGGCTTATGGAGATTTTGAGAAATTCACTAATTCTTGATCTCTCCATAGTAAATACATTAGCCTGTAATAAAAATTAATTATAAGGGTTGCAAAACAACTGTGAGAGACATACTTTATTTTACACATTTGTCTTTATTAAAGGTTCTGTATTATAAAAATTAATTAATTGCATTTTTCACATAAACTGTGCAAGAAAACAGAGGTAGAATTCATTATGAACTTAATTAAATTGATTTATATAATGACAAATAAGATGACTGGCAACATAATATTTCCTCTTGGACCAAAGGTGGTTAAAGAGATAATTCACCTGATGATAATGGGCTTTGAGATAACAAATGTTGGTTATTTGCTTCAGAGCTTGCTATGTCTCTTGGAATTACCATACTAAAGTTATCATTTTTGTGAAAAAAATTAATTATAATTGCTTTTATCTAAGATGTGCTGAATACATGTAAAGCTGAGCAATTAATAAATATCATGTCTCATTTGTGTATGCCATGGATTCAGAAAATGGCAAAAGAAATTTTTTCCTTTCATTTGTTTGTATGAAGATTTTGAGTATTCAGAAAAAAATGCAGAAAAATTGCATCAATACACATTAGCATAGAAGAGGTAAATTGACTCAAATTCCACTAACAACCCATTAGGAGACGCTGAGTGCCCCTGTAAAAAGTTGACAGATAATGGGACAAATTTATTCTGTTCTCTGCTCATGGAAAGAATTTGACCCTTAGTTTTTAATCTTCTTCAAAACAACAAACAGCTTGGAAAATAATTTTGGAAATTAATGCTGAGTTGCTCAGACAGGCAACTCTTTTTTTCTGGCTCTAATTAGTAATTTTCAACTAATTGAATGGCTATAGCATATAGGCTGGGAGACCTCCACCTGAGAATTATCAAAGC